CAAGTAATTTTTGGCGGAGACCTAACTTCGGAGACTCCCGTAGGTAACATGTAACGAAGGTAGATTAAAAGTTACGCCCCAAACACCTCTTCCTTACTCATAGGAAAAGGTAACTACGACGTAATCTAATTTGCGGAATTCTGTGAGTATGAACGAAATTATAAAAATCATCAAAACAGTGCTTTTAATGCCTTACATCTCGCCTCCACCAACGTATGCGTTTTTGCCACTGAATTATTCCAAATTACCGCTTCCTGACTTCGTTCAAACTTCAAAACGATGGTCACTTTTCGCGTAGCGAATTGAACAATTTTAAACGTTAATCCGTTTTTTCTTGGAAAGCAAGCACTTGTTGATCTTTGATTGAATTTGGCTTACCTCACCAGTGTGTATCGAACAACGGCAAAGCAATCTACTTCCGACAATAATCACAACTTCTTGGGTGTCCGGATCCAGTGCTAATTTCATATCAATCTTTACCGAATAAATCATCTACAACGAGCGTTCAGGCATTCAGTGTTGATCACATCCACAATCTGCAAACTGCTCACGTTCCCGCTCGGGTTCACGGCGAACAATTGCGGTGAGACAAACGCTTCTGGAGCATCAAACTCGAAGAACATCTGTCCGCCGTGGATCTCCGATGGTGTAGCCAATGAGCGGCAGCGCGGACTTGGTGGAGCCGAGCTGAACCCCGTAATGTCAGTAGTGGACATTAGCGCAAGCGCGACCACGCAGGCGTACAAGTTAGTAAATGAACCTTACAGTTCGATGAAGCAAAAAATGGAAATGGGCTATCATGGTTTTAAACAATGTCTTGATAAACAGGTGTGGAAAAATGGTTCATTTCTCGAACGATGGAGAATTTCAGCTATCCCGTTTCAAAGATCGGTTGTGACGACAGGATTATGCAGACTCGACGTCAACTTGATGAGGTCAGTATAATATTTTTACTGAAGGTGCTATTCAAATAAATGAGAGAAGAGTACATGTGCTCAGCTTCAAAATTTTTATGTCTCAACAAAGCCCTCGATGTCAGCTCATGGTTTTGTAAGAGCC